AATGGTAAAAATGTGAAATAATCTGGAGGAGAAAAACCAGTAAGATTCATGGTATGGAAAAGGAGGTTCTCAGAATTTAAAGAAATGGAACAATAGCTGTCTTACCCAGGCATTTCCTCCCCATGAGCAAGTAATTAGCTAAACATGTTAGCTAAAAAAATTCTTCGGGGGAAACTTAAGGATGAAAAGAGGCTTGAACTAGAAAGGGTTGGTTGCTTTTATGAAATTATTCATTTTCTAATCTGGATCCACATTTTCCTGTGAACACCTTTAGGTTGTACTAAAAATATAGTGATTGAAAGTTCAACCATATACATAATTTTCAATTTAAGTGTTTTTATAAATAGAGAATATGCTGGGTGTTTAAAATAAATCCAGGAACAGAGGTCCTGCCTTTTTATCTCTACATTGTCTTTGACATTCAGCAAAGCGCTAGTCTAGAAGTATCAAAGCCCAACTAGATGATGGAAGAAGGCACCAAAACTATGGAATGTGAGTGTCTTTCAGAAATAGGGTCTATCACAGAAAAGGCAAGCTATTGATATTATCTGGAGCTTGGGATTTCATGAAGGCAAACTGCTATTGAGAGAAAAAGGCTGGTACTTTAAGCATTTGACAGTAGTTTTTTAAACCATAGAACACATTAAGCCTTCCCATATATGATTTTAACTAGCAGCCAGTTAAAAAAAAAAGGGCAAGTGAGAGAATTCTGAGGAATGAAAGAGGAAATAGCAATAAAAATTAAAACTGTAGAGAACTTACTAGTTTTCAAACTACCTTTGAGTGTATTTTTCCCTATGTTCGTCACAAACTGCCTGCAGATAAAATAGGACAGGAGATGTTAAAGTGTTTTCAATAGATGGAGGAAACAAGACTCAATAGAAAAGGGACTTAACAGAAGTCATATAAGCAAGTGGACAAAGCATTGCTGGAACTGAGGTCTCTAGAACTGTGCTGTCCATTGTGGCAACCAGTAGCCAAGTGGGGCTGTTGAGCACTTGAAATGTGCTTAGTCCTATTTGAGATGTGCTATAAGTATAAAATACATATCAGATTCCAAAAACTTAATACAAAGACAAAGGAATATTTTATATTACTTTAGGGATATGTTGGGTTAAATAAAATATATTATCAAAATTAATGTTTCTACTTTTAATATGACTGCTAGAAATTTTAAGGTCACTTATATGGCTTGTGTTTATGGCTTGCATTGTATTTGTATTGTTACTTTAGGTGCCTTTTCTGGTATTCTTACAGAAAATAAAGGGAGGGAAAACAGGAGAGAGAATTGGATATCCCACAGTTTGAAGGACTCATTCTTCAATGATAAAAGTGTCTTAATTTTATTTATCATTTTGGTTGAAATCAACTCAATAAAAAAAAACATTGAATACCTACTATTTATAACAGTGATTGTACACATTAAGTTCAGCATATTTTAAGGAGAAGGTCAAAGCCTCATAACAGAGGGAGAGAATATCTTTTCTAGAATTATCTAACCATATCCACATGAGAGCAATCATATAAAAGATTCTCTCGTTAGACTGTCAGGTCTGTTCTAAAGGAACCATAACTAGTGTAGATGTGAAAGAACTGAGATTTTTTTGGCTAGGTAAGTACACTGGTATCATACACCCAAGGGCATTTTGGCAGGTACATGGGGGCGGGGCGGGGCGGGGTGGGGGGGCGGACAGAGGGAGGGATACATGGTCTCCATAGAGCATGTCCAAGCAGATTCCATTCACGCAGAGGAGGACCTTGGCTGAGGAGAAATGAGTGAAGCACATTAAGGAATAGCTGTATGAAAACGCAGCTCAGAGTAGGAATAAAGGAAATGTTGAAAAACTAATGAACCATAAGATCTCTATAATAGTCTCTTAATAGGTACATTGTTGAGTAACACTGGTGTGTGCTAGATTAGTTATAACTTGTTATATCCGATTTCATGAGGCATATGGCAGTGCACACCTAGTTCTCGAGGAAAGGACTGAACCTACTGTTGTCACTTAGAACACACCCTAGTAATTACTGCTACAGATTCCAGTCTCAGAAAATATTAATATTTTTCCTGTAACAGTTTTCGAAACCTGGAGTGCAACAAAGGAAAATAGAATGATGATTGAAATTTTCAAGGTTTGTGTGGAAGGGGGAAAATACACTTGTGTGATATCTTAAATGAAATTCCACTTTTAAAATTCTAGATATATTTGAAATCTGTCATTTTAAAATTAATAACTGTTTTCCTTTAACGCAGTCTGTGTAAAGAAACCCAATCCACTTCTGAACAGTTCCCTGCCTTCCCAGATACATGGAAATTCACTACTGTTGCTGACAAACAAAATGCCACAAGATTTGTCATACAAATCACATTATAAGAGGTTCCAAAAACTTGACAACGTTGACAGTTGTTTTCAGCAAATGGCTGCTTTACTCTGTACTGTCAATGTTGATGTCCTTGTGCACATGTAAAAGAGCAATGTGATTAAGGCAAGCTTGTCCACGCTATATCTGAGCCAAGTTTTCCGTCTCCGCGTGGCACTGAAAGATTGCTCAGCTGTTGCAGATAAGGCAGGAATAGCTAGCAGATTTCTGCCATTTAAAAAAAAAACATTCTCTGGGCATGCATTTCTGTAGGAATTTACCAACATCTGCTGCTGACCTAAAGTTTTCTATAGAAGTGGCATATTTAATTTATACAAGTAATTCACAATGGTATTGGTCAAGCCTGATTTCCTTAGGAAATAATGAGTTGCGTTCACCAAGAAGAGATGAGTTGAAGTCTAATATTTATATTCTCTAAATTGTCATTGGAGCTTCAGCCCTCATACTTTTTTGGCCCGTCTTACATTTATTTTCTGCATGTTCTCTAAATTATATTTCAGCAGAGAAACTTTTTAGAAGGAAGAATAAAGAGCTAAGAGGTTTTGGTGATTCCACAGAAGGCCTACACTTCACACTTATCTTTTTTTTATAGGCTCTCTGAAAATGTTTGATTTTTGGAAGCTAATTTATTCTGGGAGAATTTTGTAGTTGATTTTAGATGAAATTTTAGTGTGATTTAAATTTGTCCTATGTGCTATCCTCAAAAGAACATACAGGATTTAGGTATTTCCCATTGTCAAGGAAACTTGATAACCTCTCATTACTTTGATTTGGACATCATTTACTTAACCATTTTATTTGCTACTGCTCAATTCTGTAATTTGTTCTGTGCATGTTTGTACTATTTTAATTTAGTTTCTTTTAAAATATGAATGCTTCTCAGGTAAAAATACAAGACTTCAATTAGTCCTGGCAATTCAAACCTGTCTCGTAATGCATTTGTTATTTGATTCATCTATTCTTATTCTTGGTCACCTTCTTGTACAGCTGCATGCTTTAACTGTCTGACTTGTCTTTGAAAATCTTAAGCCACATTCTTTGGAACAGTTGCTTCATGTTGGTTGAAATTCTCTGTGGCACTTTTTTCCATTCACAGGAGCCAACAGCCACCATAGCAGACACATAGTTTCCAAGAACTTAGGCATGGTTCATGATTCCTGAATCTCAACAATTTCTTGCAGGAATCAGAATACCGTGTATAGTGTCTGAAACCTTTGTGCTATAAATCATAATAAACAAGTATACACTTATACAGTAAGGTTCAATTAGCATACATAATTTTTAAATGTTTTCCTTCTTGAAACTAGCAAAGGCACACAATTTGAAATCCCACTAATGAAATAAATTAATCCAATGGCCCAAGCAAGTAATTACCTAAATATAATAGCAAGAAATTCTTTTAGGAAAAATTAAGGATAAAAAGCGATTTGAACCAAAAAGGGTAGTGGCTTCTGAAAGAACTCTTTATTTTCTAATATAGATCCACATTTTCCTGTGAATACTGTTATATTGTACTAAAAATATAGCAATTGAAAGTTCAAATTTTAAGTTCCAAATTACCGCCTTTCAGATCCAGTGAGGCATCTAAAAAATGGGTCAAGGTAACAATACATAATTTGAAAAGTTAACAAAAAGTTGCTAATGGAAATAATGTGAAAACCAATATAATTGCATAACCTGTCTTATTTCCATTGTCAATTAAGCTTATTAGGTAGCAGAAATCCTTGTGAAATATTTGCCAGAGCTAGCATCTTTATTTTCATGTAGCCGAGGGAAAAGAAAGGAGACATTTCCCATAGAGTGTTTAGATCCTCTGATTAAGCAACTGATTAAAAAAACATGAGTGTTTTATAAAAAAAGAGTTGGAGTAAATACAGAGAAGCAAAATATGTATCAATAGAGAAGAGCATGCAGGCGGGAAAAACATGGACTTGCTCTTTTTTTCCTGCTGAGTTCTGTTTTCACATATTTTAATTTTATATACTTCCATTAGAATTATATTGATAATGACTTTTTATACATGAATAACAGCATTTGGAATGGAAATAAGTTAACAGTATCTTATTTATGAGTTTTTTTTTGAAGTTTTGGTCTCAGCCTCTTTAATTTTGAATTTATTTTTAATTCGAGAAGTGCATAATTTTTCAGGAACGCAGATCTTCTTGCTGCCAATATCTTCCCAAAGGCTTTGGTTCAATCCATTTATACTTACGTCACTTATAGACAAAAGCAAAGTGTGACAAAAAATACCATTATTTGTATGTACAGAGTGAAAAGAAATTCTTTTTTTCTCAGTAAATACTTGTAATCACATTCTTTAGTACACATTTTGAGCCATCTCCTGACACAGTAGCTGTCAGGAGAGAAGTGAAGATAAGTTATTCTTCACCGACTTCTGTGAGATATCAGAAATATATCATGTAAGTAACTCAAACAATTGCACTTCCCATTATCCTATCACTCCTCAAGGCCATAAAACTCCAATTTGCAAAGTGACTGGATTTTACTGGGGGATGAAGGAGGATGTGACTGTTTCTCATTTGCTTTTGAACTTTCTCATGATACTGAGAATTTCATGAGACAAAAGTGATGTTATCAATCATGTTATAAATACTTACATGAAAGTTTTATTATGTTTTTCTGGGTTTGCAAGATGAAATCCCTTTTACTGAATATTTCCAGTGTTCAGGGATATTTTCCTGGTAGGTTGGATTCTGTGTCATTTGGGTATGCTGCAAAAGGTTAGCCAGGGTTTGAGAGTGAAATTCGGTTTAAAATAAACGGCTGCCCTAGGACTGGAGAGGCTTTCTGTCCAGGGCTTGAGTCTTCCACAAGAGGCCCAGCGCCACTCTGCCCTCACTGTATTTCTGGAGAGCGGGGATGTGCAAACACCTGTAAAGAGAGTGAGGGCAGAGTATAACGAAGTACATCGCAAAATTTTTAAATTGCATGTTTTGTTCTTTTGATGGATTATCAAATATGATTGAGAAGCTACCAGGGCCTGCTGTCACCTACATGATAAAGTCTAAATTCCTCAGCGTGGCACAGAACGGTTCCATGCTTCACCTACTCTTGGTATCATCTACACTACTTCATAGCTACACTAAGCTATGAATTATTGAATATTAACCATGTTTTGACCATAGCCGGAATGTCTTCTGACACAAAAGCATTTCAGTTTTATCCATCTTTGGGACGTGTATCCACCCTTTCAAGATAGGGTTCAAATGACATCTCTTTGGTCAGGAGGTCCTTCTGCTTTATCCCTGTTTTTGGCATTTATTCTATTCATGCTGTATCAGACTGTACAGTACTTGAACATATGTTTATCTCCCAAGCTAGACTATGAGCCTTTTGATGTAGGGGTAGCATATTTATTTTCATGGTCCTTGGGTCTTGCATAGTACCTGGCTGATGATAGGTGCCATATAAATATTTGTTAATGGAGATGTAGCTTTGTACAACATCTGCACCCCAGCCTCTCATCATTAGTGAGAGCTCACCTATCATCAGAATCTCTCATAACAGACGTGTTGGGAAAGCTATCTACAAACGAAAACACTCTCCATGCAAATCATTGACATTCAAGAGCCCTCACAAGGTTCATTTACCTTAAATAATGTGCTTATTTTCATGTGCAGTTCATTTTGTGGAGCCAGCATCATTGCTTTTAGCATAACACTTCATATAGGAGAACTAATTCTGATACACGACAACTCATAAAAAAATAGCAGAACCACCTGCCCACCATTTTTACTTAAAAGTATTCATTGCAGCTCAGAACTTGAGTTCATAGAGAAAATTAACTGTAAAGCCTAAAATACTAATAATTTATGTAACAACTGACTAGTATTTCAAACATTCAGACCATAGCAAGGAATTAAGAGATAATCAAAAGGGGATTTCAATTCAAAGCAAACAAGTCCACAATATCAATAATGGTAGAAAAGTGCTTAATGCTTCTCCCCACACAGTGCCTACTCATTTTACTGTTCTAACAAGCTTTTGTTTGTTCCACACCTTTAGGAGATTAGAAGGAACAAACTCCTCCAATTTGGGATTACAGGATGTTTAGATTCAGGAAAATGAAAGAAATGAGAAATGCCAGCGGATAATCTGATTCTAGAATGTCAGAGAAAGTAATATTACAAAAATAGAAGATTTAAGAAAAAGGTTTAATTGTTTGTGGAACATTTCAGTATAGTTCCATCTCATCTAGCTTCACCTTGAATTCAGGCTAATCTTGTTAGGGGTTCCTTGCTTCCTTCTCTACTCTCTCACACACCTATCCATTTCTCTCCTTCTCACAAAATCCTTTCCCTGTCTTCGTTCTGTTAAATACACACCATCCAATTTCCCAAAACCTTAGTGTGCGCCTTTAGAGGTGAGCACATATGAAGATTAAAGCATGGGGTCAATATATAAATAAAACATTTGGGTACTTCACTACCAAGCCACACACAGACACACAGACAGACAGACACCCGATCTAAAAACCTCTGCTTCTGGATCTCTGTAGCTCCCACTGGTTCCCCATGGAGGTCCCAGATGTGTCCAATCTTTACTTGACTTCTCAGTGGACCTGCTGCTTAGGTGCCTTCAACACCTGTCCTGTGACCAGTGGGTCTGCTGGTCTCAGGGCATGCCATTCCACTGCTGGCTCATTCTGGAAAACTTGACCATGGAAGATAACCATTAGCAACTCTGGATTCTGTAGCTGACTCACTGGAAATGTCCAGTGAAATATGGAGTGACAATGACTTTCGAAACACAGCGGAGCAGTAAAGATTGTCACAGAAACCTTGGAATTTTCACAGCAGTATTGTCTTTTAGGCCACAGTTACGATGGAGACAATCTCTCCTTGCCAAAGAATGACTCTCCGCTAAAATATGCCATATTGTGAGTTTCTTTGCTTGTCTTGGTGGCTGTCACAAACCTCCATAGACAGAATTCTTAAGCATGGATGTGTGGGTCTGTTCCGCTCTGCCGCCCAAATGAAGAGTATGCCTGGGGCTTTAATTTGTGTAGTGTTGCCGTGCTGACTATGAATTTTGAACGACTGTTGTTACCACCTTCCACTTAGTGATAATTTACCATTCTTGTTCTATTCCATGCTTGTGTTTTAGATCAAGTTCTTATGGTACAATTTAAGTGCTTTTATGTGCATTCCTGCTTGCTTAGATAAAATTACAACACATGGCTTAATTAGTAAGATGTGTACATTCATGAAGGAAGGCACACTTCCCACCGATTTCTTTCCCCATTCCCAGCAAATTGCATCATGAAAATGTTTTGGAAAAGGAACGGTGTCATTCTCTGAGTGGTATTGATTATTATTTAGCAGTTCTGTGAAGTGAACAATTTAATAATTGAGTGATTCTAACAAAACCCTACCATTCATCTTGGTGGCAAACATCATCTTTGTAATCCAGTAACTTCTACCATAAGGATTATCACCAGTATGTGACTAGATAGCCACCTGAGGATAAATTTGAAACCCTTTATGAACTGAACATTATTCTCATTATTTGTCAACTGTTTGATATTCTCCTATTCACTTCTTGGGGTCCTGAGAGCTTGTGGCCTAAAATGCAAATAACCATTTTAGGATTAGCCTGTTAAACAGATACAGTTAATGCCATAATTAGAGTTGTTGGTCAGGTTGTTGGTCACTTTGGTGAAGATAAGTCTGAGGAAATAGGATACAGAAATGTCAGCTGGAAGAGACAACAAAGGTTGTCTTGAGAAAGGTTCTGAGAGTAATACCTGGAGGCTCTAAATCTGTCTGTTATTTATTTTATCTAAGTTATAAAAAAATCATTACACACTAGTTACATACTTAATTTATTGAATCAGGCTGGAGCTATCTCTATTTTTTTTTTTAAGGACGTGTATTCTCAGGGTATTTTATTTGAACTTACACATTCATTATTTTTTTTTAATTATGAAAATGTTTTGGTTTCTCTAATTATTTAATTCCATGTAAATAGGTGATTTCATCACAGGTGACCTCTAACGTTCCTTTCAGCCCTAACTTCTTTGATTCTTTCTTTATACTTTTTCCTTAGGACATTTCTCAGGATGTTTGGATCTGTTCTCCTTTGGGTAGTGGTGCTGAGTTGGTGGCTTATCTATTTGAGGTTGTCAGTTTATGGACAGTCTTAATGGGCAGTCTTACCTCATCCTATCAAGATAACTGTTTAGTAAAGTTTTTTTTTTTTTTTTTTTTTTTTTTTTTTTTTTTTTTTTTTTTTTTTTTTTTTTTTTTTTTGAGGGGGGCATAAGTTTGGAAGATCTCTTCGTTATACTTGGCTCAGCATATGGCATTGTACACAGATTTTCTTGCCTTTCACTTTATGTGTTTCTAAATTTTTATAGATAACAGGAAGCACCGACACCTTTAAGAGGGATTTATTATAGACTTGCTTATTTTTCTTGTTGTATTTCTTAAAACCTGTGTCAGAAAAATACACTGCCTAGAACCAGGCAGACTGGAGATTTCTAATTTTAAAGTACCCTGTGAATATTCATAGATATATGTAATTTTTATGTAAGGATAACTCAGAATTTCTCTAATGCCTATGCAACTTCTAATAAACATTTTAAAAACTGGAAATTCAGTATTTAAGGTGAAAAATTTTTGAAAAAAGTTTGAAAAATTTCCAGAAAGAAATGGATTGATTTCATAAAAGTTACTAATTTCATTGACATGAAGTAAAGTGTGTCATAAATAGTAAGAAGTTTGTTATGCTCTCTTGTTGATTTAAATAAAAAGAATACAGGGGTGCCGGGGTGGCTCAGTCAGTCAGTTGAGCATCCCACTTCGGCTCAGGTCAATATCTCATGGTTCATGAGTTTGAGCTCCGCATTGGTATCTGTGCTGACAGCTCAGAGCCTGGAGTCTGCTTCAGATTCTTGTCTCCCTCTCTCTCTGCCCCTCTCCCATTCGCACTCTCTCTCTCTCTCTCTCTCTCTCTCTCTCAAAATTAAATAAAAACATTAAAAAAAGGATACAGTTTAAGAAACCAACCCATTAGATCTGAGTGTTTCTCATGTGTTTCTGCCTTCCTGTCAATTACAGAAATCATAAAGCTTGCATCTCTTAAAAATTTGATAATTGGAGTAGAATAGAAGAGAGAAAGAAGGTGTTATTAAATGGATATATTGTGTGTAAAATTACTGGTAGGGCTGGTGAATTCTGATGAATAAAATCCTCATAATGATTTCTCAACGAGCATTCACTAAACTATAAAATTGGCACAGTCAGCATGACTTCTTAAATATCAAATACTGTCAATAACGTAAGAAATTATGGATGTTTCATTTTTTAATCAGAAGTGTGCTCTGAATAAGTGCACAGAATCAGCGGTGATATTTTGCAGAATTAATAGTTATGTATGAAATAAAGTCATAAGAAATATCTACTGAGGCAAACATTGAACTCTTCACTGAAATTAAAAACGTTTTAGTACAAACTTTTTCCTTTGGGCCTACTGCTTTAACTCTGTGGTGAAAGCCAATAAGAAAATACAGTTTTATACAAAAACATGAACTTGCAACAAAATTCCTTCAGACCGTGTCAGGTGCATAAAGTGAAGTAAAGCTTCATGCTTTCCAGTCATATGCCAATAGTGTACGTTCCCTAGAAGGAAGACAGGGAACAAGTTTTCAAAGAAGGGAGCTTTTGCCTGCAGTGGCTTAGATGACTCACTCTGTCACAGGGGATAATTTCACTGCGACCATTGAGATTTTTGTTATTTTCTCTCGGGGAGAAGGAATAGCTGGGTTTATTTTAAGTACCGGGCAAAGGGATTGTTAGTGGGAATTCTGCACGAAACGACCCAAGATGTAAGCTGCACAGGATCATTCATATTCTTAAGATAAGTTACTTCAAAATATGAGTATAATTACCCTTGAAATGTTACTTTTGAGTGTTTTTTTTTAACTCTTTTTTTTTTTTCTTAGCGGGTGAAGGAAGCACTTAAAATAATGACTGGGGTTGGTGGTATTTATAGGCCAGAATTGTCTGGAAGTCCTTTTTTTCATCTTCACATAAACAGATGACTGTATGTAAAATAATGATTATATACTCTCAGTATTTTAAAACTGACTTTCATGTTTGGAATGCTCCTGACATTACCTACAGAGATCAGTGCTGTGGTCCATGGAAGGCATAGAAAACTAAGCTTCGTCATGTGTTTCTGTCTTCCTGTCAATAAGCTCACCTCTGGCTAATGAATGCAGAGAGACAGGTCTGCACTGTGCCAGAGTTGTATGTAAACTGCTCAGGAGCATTTGGGGCCCCAATGGCACCTCTCAGAACATTCCTGTGTTTACAGCCCCCAGAATATCTTGGGCATAGCTTGCTTCTCTAGCTCTGACTTGTTGCTAAGAGTCAAGCCACTGTGTAAAAAAACGGTGCCTCATTTTCACAGGGGCTCCTCAGCAGAGCAAATGGCCATGGGTTCTCTTTTCCTATGACCACAGTGCTGTTTGGGTTTGCTCTCTAGAAAAACGCATTGATATATTTGCGGCTGGTGGGGGCACTGCTTTATTGCCCATTGTGGAATGCATACTAAATAAAAACCACTATGATTTGTAATAAGCAACCTTACATGCTCTTCAGGTTCCTCCGATGTTCAAACATGCATAACCAACCATCAATATAAGAAATTCACCTCTAAGCTGTTAGTGTATTATAGTCTGTGACTTTTCAACTCAGGGAATGATACTCATTTATCTGTCTGTCCCATTCAGAACAACTTCTCCTTTATTGCATTTAGAACAGTATAACTGAAAGGCAATAAGGAAAGGCAATATCATAGAGTGGTTCACATTACGCTGAATTTTATTGTAGTCTGACATTGTGAGTGAACCTTTGGAAGCCTTGAAAGGAGCATAAAGGCAAAACCTGCTTCTAATGGACTGAAGAAAAATACTCTGACATAGTGATAAGTAAGATGACTTCTAGAAATTCTGACTTGAAAACGTTTTTTGAATGAGTGCTTATTTTTGTTGTCCCAATTCAGAGAATGATATTAAAACAGCTTGCCATTGGCCAGAACTAACAATTTTTCCCCCTTAAAGGCAGGGCTTCGTTTATAAAGATGTAAGGAGATCCACAACTCCTCCAAACTCCAGGTTAAAACAAAACAAAACAAAAAAACCTTGTCTTGCATTTTCCTCCAATTCTTCTGATTGAGTATATCAACAGTATTAGAATTTAGATGCTGTGAGAGTTTTCTCTTTAATCTGTTTATTTTCTTATTATAAAATGGACACTTCAGTGGCATTTATAATTATGAAGTTTATATTTTTTCATAGAAAGCAAAAAATTATTATCTCCATTATTCTCTGCTCTTAAAATACATGGAGTTGTATATTCTTTTGGCTTGAATTATTTTAGAGGGCTAGTGTAGATGTAGTTTTCAACTGCTATGGGAATTTTGATGACAACAGTAAAGAGTTCTCCAGAATCTTATAGTTCAAGTTAGAAATGAACACTCAATATGACAGATAAGTTAGAAGTGCAAAATTTTACAGGATGTCAGGAAAAGAATCTCCCCTTTTGTTAATGCAAACACAAACTATTTTTTCCCCTCTTTCTTGCCTCTCTACCATGGTCTTGTCCCTGTCCTTCACTTTTCCCCAATTAACCTCTTCTGTTGTTGTGCCTGGCACATAGTAGGTGCAGAGTAAATATTTGTG